CTTGGATGGTACACACACACAGTTCTGCGTATTTCGAACAACGAATACATTGCGGTTAGTGCTCTAGTATTCTTATTATACCTCTATGAAAATAACCTATAAATACCATAATATTAATTGAAATTTAGTTTAGTAATAATAGTACTCATTTTATTTGCTTGTACTATATGTTGTTACTTAGTAGAAAGACTACAAAACATAAATTGAAAAAAGTATGATAAACCGATTAACGAAATTACAATGATAATTTAAAGGCCTAGTTATATTAAAAACTCCATTGGCGCTCCATATATTTGTTGAAAACAAACCGTGACCGTAATGAAGCGCGACCAAAGTAAGGCGCAACCGAAATGATCTGTATTCATGCCTATGCCTAGCCCATGCCTAGGCCTATTTACTTTTTTATTATAATATTAATTCTTGTTTGAGCTGTAGGTAACTGTTGACAGTGAATCAATTTACAAGCCGTGAGGAATTTGAAAAGCTTCGTGTATTCAACCAAGAAAATATTAAAAAGATTGTTCAAGAATGTGTTGCATCCATCAACAGCAACATAAATTGACAGAGATGTCTTGCAAAGTCTGATCAGCCAAGAATACAGCAGACCTGCCAACTCACCCGATCCTGTCGGGTGTCACCCGATATTTAAACAAATCTCCAGTTCTCCCGATCAAATTTAATTTTCACCCAATTTCACATCCCCCTCCCCAAAAATACTCCGATTTATGCATAATTTGATTGATACCGTTATTATTCAATGTATTCGCCGCCTGCTCACTTTGCGGTGCAATAAACAAGCAACCATTTTCAATTTGAATGTCACCATTAGCCATGACTTGTAGTGACGTGACTTTTTTGGTATCTTGCATCATTTTTTGGGTAATTCTGAAACCTCCAGATTTTTTGGTAAATCTCCAGATTTTTTTAAGATTCTTAAAAAAATCTCCAGATTTTCATGACCCAAGGGTTGGCAGGTCTGATAAACGGTGCATCAGATGTTGCAGACTTGATGTGCGTAAGTTGTAGCACTGTATTTAGAAGGTTTCTGTGGTGTTCTTACTGTTGTCCTGTGTGACAATACCGACGTTGAGGGCAGGAGTTGCCACAGGGAGAGAACCACGAGGAAAGAATTAAATTCTGTTCTATGAGTTATACTGTTGTATTATATGGTCTTTATTGCTAGTTTACAAGGACTCAACACCATATTTGGCGACGAGGAAAATTATTGATTGTGTGTGCTATTATTCCTACATTTACAAGTTCTAAATTTTGCTACAAGTCATTACAATGACAAGCACACAAATCGAGGCACCCGTGCAGTTTCTGCCTACGCCGGGAGACCCTGTCATACCATGGTTGCAGTGGAGGCGATTATTCGAGAATTACCTACTCGCTTCGAATACAGTGAAGGAATCGCCGGAGCGTAGAAGAGCTATACTTTTACACTCGCTAGGTCCGGAAGGCCAACGAATTTTTTACACGTTACCAGAACTAGGAGAAGCAGGTGACGATATATTTACAAAGGCAATGACAACATTGCAGAGTCATTTTGCACCAAAGGTTAGTGTGGTGGCTGAGAGATATAGATTTCGTCAGCGTGCACAGCTCCCGCACGAATCAGTCGACAATTACATTGCAGCGCTCCGCGAACTGGCTTCACGATGCGAATTTGGTACGTTTGAGGACGAAATGCTACGAGATCAACTTGTAGAGAAGACTAATAGTTCCAAAATACGAACTCGATTACTTACAGAAACCGATGTCAAGCTGGACAAGGCCATTAAACTAGCAAGGCAGTGTGAAACTGCGATGAAAGAGGCGAAGTCTATGAGCGGAGGTGATACTCATACATGCTCTGAGGTGAAATACAAAGCTAAGCCTAGAGGTGCTAAAGCTGAATTTAAGAAGGAGAAACAGAGGCCCAGGCCAAATAGCAATGCCAAGTGTTATCGCTGTGGTTCACCTCAACATTTAGCAAATTCGCCAGGATGTACTGCAAGGTCAAAGGACTGCAACTCTTGTGGAAAAAAGGGACATCTGTCTAGTGTTTGCCGTGGTAAAAGGAAAGTTGTTAAGCAGGTTGAACACGCTAGAGGTGAGACTGATCAAGATGGCGACATGATTGAAGTATTGTGTACACGGTCAAGCAACAATGATTCAAGGAAAAGTGTATGGGGAACTCTTAAAGTAAACTCTATAAATATTCAAATGCTTGTTGATACAGCATCTGATGCATCCTTACTTTCACTTAAATTATTTGATAAATATTTTGTTAGAGATGCATTGGAACCATGTATAATGCCTATAACTAGCTATACATCTCATAAGATAACAACTGTAGGATGTTTTAAAGCTAAAGTTCAGTTTAAATCTAAATGTGCAAATGCAACATTTTATGTAGTAACTAAAGGAAGTAGCCTAATAGGCAAGGACCTAATCCAAGCACTTGGAATTAACATTGATGGTAGTACGTTGACATGTTTTGAGACACATGCTGAGTCTACATGTACTGATGTTAAATCACAATTTTCATGTTTGTTTTCAGATACCTTGGGTAAGGTTAAGGGGTTCAAACATAAGGTTAAAGTTCGCCCAGAGGTTAAGCCAGTCCAACAAAAGCTGCGTAGACTGCCATTGACTGTGCGTCAAGCCGTGTCCGCTGAATTACAACGTCTTCTAGACGCAGGGATTATTAAACGCGCTGAAGCGCCAGAGTGGGTTTCACCAATTGTAGTTGCATGGAAAAAGACTGGTAAAATCCGCATATGTGTTGATTTAAGAAAACCCAATGAAGCTGTTATTGAGGACAAATTTCCTCTTCCTTCAATTGAAGAAATGTTAAGCGAGATGAATGGCGCGACATACTTTTCTAAGCTCGATCTTAAATCAGCTTATTACCGACTGGAATTAGATTCCGACAGTCGCGACCTTACATCATTTATTACGCATGATGGTGTTTTCCGATTTCGTACAGTTTGTTTTGGTTTATCTTCAGCCCCTTCATGTTTCCAAAAAATGATGTCGACTGTATTAGCAGGAATTCCAAACGTACAATGTTTTATCGATGATATTATTATTTACGGACGCGACAAAGCCGGGCATTATAAAACATTATTTTCAGTGCTTACCCGTTTGAAAGAACGTGGTATGACGCTAAATGACAAATGTGAGTTCGGGGTA